CTAATCCTTCTCTTTTTGCTGAGGAAAACCGGCTCTGAGCTAACATCTACTGCCAATCCTCCTCCTTTTTTTTTTCCCCCAAAGCCTCAGTAGATAGTTGTATGTCATAGTTGCACATCCTTCTAGTTGCTGTATGTGGGACGCGGCCTCAGCGCACGCCCGGGATCCGAACCCAGGCCGCCAGTAGCGGAGCGCACGCACTTAACCGCTAAGCCACAGGGCGGGCCTGAGGACAAGCACATCTTATTTTTAATTTCCATTATGTAAATTTTCAAACATACACAATGATAGAATAGTATAATAATTCTCCATGTACTTATTCACCAGATTCAATATTTTGCCAATTTTATTTCATCTATCCCTTCACTATTTTTTTCTGGCTGAAATATGTGAAAGCAAAATACATATTTGTTTTTACATAAGCACCATGCCATGATCACACTCAACAAAAGTAACCATAATTCCCTAATACTGTTAAATACCCAGCACACATTCATGTTTCCCTGAAGGTTTCAACAATGTCTTTTTATGGTTAGTTTATCTGAGTGAGGATCCCCACATGATCCACACGCTGCATTTAGTTGGTGGAGTTCATTTACGTTCTCCATTCAGTAAGTGAAATGGCACAAGCATGGACTGCTTTATTTGAAGGAGAAATAAATGGACTGAAGAATGTAAATGGCGTTGAGTATCATAGCAAAGCAATGAATTTCTAACACTATATATTCATTCCTGTCATCTGCTCAATATATCTTTGAGATCATTTAGACACCAATTTGCTCGGACACCAGTCACAATTTATCACAACAAATGGTGTGTCAGTACCATATTAATTATATACCAGCTTACCTCACCCAACACACGTCGCTCCACCACTCTTAATAAATGACGCAACAATGCCACACCAAGCATTTGGCTGATCATTTTAGGGTTGATTGTACCTTAAGCAAAATAGACTTAAGGAAATCTATACTCTCAAACTTTATATTTGTGTTACTTTTCTCTTGAAATGCACACACACACACACACTCACACACAGGGATTTTGGAGATGCTGAGACAGAACAGGGAAAGCAGATGGGAAAAGAATTAATTAAAAAAAAAAAAAAACACCTCTCCTCTGGAGAACATGAACAATTCTTTCTTAGCTTCTATTTACAGTTGGGTTGTGGATAGAATACATTCAATAATGAAGGTTTACGAAATAAAGTTAAGCAATTTTATATTTGTTAAAAACAACACACACCGTCACAATTTATAGATAAACAGACACATAAATATATATGTTTATGTGTTTATATGTGTGCATAAAGATGTAGATACACAATACATTTTATAGCTTATTAAGTATACGGGCTGAAAACTTCTTTCTTTAAAAAGAAAATGAGATTTTGATTCATACATCCTGCTGCAATTTCCTTTTTTATTTTTTTCTCCTTAAAGTTTGACTTGCCAACCAACAAGCTAAAGCATGACCTGTCCCATGGCCATGCTTCAAAGTTCCGACAGATATATTCCTCCCTAAACACTGCAACTATTTCAAAATCCTCTTTATAAAGAAGGGAGTAATGTCCACAAGGGATCAAAGGGCATCCTACAGTCTGGCAATTGCCTAAGAAAAATGGCAGTGCTTCCATGAAATATGCCCTAAAATAATTTTGCGGCTTGGTATGTCCTAATTTCAAATTGGATGTTTATCTTGGAAAGGCTTCTATCTAACTTGTCCATAAAACAGCCCCACTTAGCTCTATGAGCTCTGTGAAAATGGAATCCAAAGCTGGTTATTAAGGGGGCCTAGAGATAGGTTCCATATGGCGGAACAGCATGGGAGGGCGAGGCGAAGGCCTACATCAGGCGAGGCTTGGCTGGAGCTCCTGATCTATCCACGGACACTCGTTGCATTACACCACAACATCTGGATTATTGCTTGTAATGTCCCTGGGAAATATCCACTTTCCATCAAAGCCTTTATCTATCACAGTCGGACTTTGAACATTTTAGTATTTAACGCAGTCATATTTGATGTGATGGACCTGCTCTTTGCTGTTCAAGATTTCTTTTTTCCCCTTACTAAAGGGAGGGTAGGAAAAGAGAAGTATTTATTGCAGAGTTCACAGATAGAAAAGAACAGAAGACCTTGATTCCACTTATTTCATCCTAAATATTTCTGCAAAATCCACTATAAGGTTATGTCCAAATAAAGTTTCACCTGTGAGCAACAGATTCTGGGGTATGTGTATGTGCTTTAAAGAAGTTTCCTAATTACTTTAACATTTCTCTTCCAGCCTTGAGACTTGTGATGAGGCTTAACAGCAGAGTCTGTGGTTTGGGGCAGCATCTGGGCCATCCTGCATGTCCTCTGATGCAGAGCTGGGCTCTCAAAATCTTTTGTCCTCTTTGAACACTCCCTTTCTCCCTACAATAAATCGACTCCTCTGCACTCACTCTGTTAGCTCAATAGCTCAGGTTTTCATGTCTGTGCCGGAGCCTGTAAGTGAAATTTGTCATCTTAATGCAGCTTGGAATGTGAAAGGAGAGAAGGAAATGACCCATCAAAGGAGAAGGCCACCCCACCTGAGCTGAAACAAACACTGGGAGAGAGAGCAAAGTTTCTGGGTCTTGACCCTAATTTCTCAGCAGACATAATGGATGAAATATAGTACATCAGGGTTTTGTTATTTTTCTCCTTCCTCCCAAAGGGTCAGAACCTTTTACTATTTCTCTGTTGAGTCATTCATAGGCTCTCTCTTCCTTACCCCCAGCCCAGCAAATCCACACCCATTCTTCTAAACAGAAAGAGTGACTTCCACCTAAAACCCACCAGTGAGTTATTGCTAGAGAAAACAAGGTGTGATATTTAACTTAGAAACATATTGACTTGCATAAAAATGAAACAGCTTCAAAAACACTCATTTATTTCTGGGTCTTGAAAATCCCACAGACAAGGAAGGAAGGGAAGAAAGGGAGAGAGATTCAAAGCATAAGCAAGCCGTGGAACTCCTGCTCACTTCCAACAGGTGGACAATTCTCAAGAGTTTTTGATCTAGGAAAAGACTCTCAAAACAGTGAAGAGATTGTCATTCCTGGGACACATAAAATGGAATACAGCTTGGCAACATGCATTATTTGAGGATTTTGGCCAAGTGGCATGCTGGGAAGACGGCGATGTGGACTCCAGTATCCCGCTTCCTTGGCGTGGCTGCAAAGGAAAACCCAGGGATGATGGACGTGTCAGCTCAGTGCCTCTTATCTGTCCCAAGCCAGGAAGAGCGGCAGAAAGGTCAGGAGTAAAGAAAGATCCTGAAAAGAGGGCATGGAGTCCAAGAGCTGGGGCCGCAGCCTGCGGTCATCAAAAGCAATGTTATATTTAGCTGTGCCACAGTCCAGAACTGACCATGCTGACCAATGCCATGGGGTAATTATTCAAAGTACTCCCCTGGGTGTACAAAATACCAAAAAATAAAAAAGGATGAAAATTAAAAAGACGGGAAGTGAAAAAAGTTTTTCACCAGATTTTTCTAGCAGGGCATACCTACTAGGTCCTCAGATACTTTTTATATCATCTCAGTTACAGAAGTATAAAAATATGTATTCCAATGTTGCCAATGCATCTTATTTTGACTCTCATTAATTATTTTTCCTAAGTCATTGTGAGAAAGTAGGCAGTCAATGGAAACAAATGCATGAAAAAAACACTAACTCTGTAGGCAAAATAAATAGTAAAGCAAGATTCCAAACTATGTTGGCACCACGAAGAAAAGCTAAGGGAGAACATTCGGTCTATAAAAGGTTTCCCTGAAATATTCCTTTCAAGCTTTTTCAACACGTAAAACTACTGCTCATTGTCAACAGCTTTTATAGCGTGACATGAGAAGATCCATACATTCATGCAACAGGCTCCCAGAAAAGCTCCTCTCAGCAGCTCCTTATATCATCTGAAGGGAATCCTAAGGCATAAATCCTCCTGGAACTACACAGAAATCCCTGCATAAGGATAGAAAGAAAGCCTTTTAAATTTCCCACATGGACATGGACAAGGAAGATGAGATTTATATTTGTAGACAAAAACTATATCACAGCCCCAAGGATGTGAATGACCTGTGTGTACAAAGACATTAGCTATA